AAAAAAAAACGTGAAGCAGGGAAAGGGAACACTGCTCATCTGGGCTGGAGCTTTGTCATAATGTTCCTCTGTTTTTCTTCTCCAGAGCTTGTGCAGCTGTGTAAAACAAATCCAGATGTTGTCTCTTTTGGCTTCTTTCGAAAGGAAAAATTAAAATTCCTTGTAATCCTAAAGGGAATATAATGTCTTGGCATAGCAGGTTTGTGACTAATAGACGTGATGAACACGAGGGGCAGAATGTACGTATTAAAAAAAAATTGTGGCTTTGTCAGAAATGCCTTAATATTATTTTGTTGGATATGAAAAAATCATCATTACACATAATACAAATGTGGATCTGTAAAGCAAAACCACATGCAGGAAGAATCTATGAAGTACAGAATATGAGCCAGAACAAATCATATCCTTTATGTCTTCTATCATATCCTTTGTCATCTTCTATCTGACATAATATTTTAACTATTATTCTACTAGAATTTTTTATTTCGCAATTAGTTAATTTTCTCTGCACTGATCAAAACTCAATCTAAAAGATTTTTCTCTCCTAATCTAAAGCCGATTTTGTCTGTTGAAAAAAGATTGCTGCATACATACATTTCATAATGTTGTTTTATTAATATAGCGTTCTTTATTTAAGCCAGCTTTTTAATGGTATATTTGCCATGTGTAAATGTGCATCATTTGCCAACTAAGGCCAATATTCTGGTTATGCTTTTAAAATGAACTTCTGGAAATACTAGAGAAGTCAAATCATCAATTCTCATTATTGTTTTTCACAAATATTTTATACAACACCAATATTTTATAAAATAAAAACATCACCTAGGATTCCCTATATTTGGACAAACACAGAAATAAATAAATGTTCAGTTCGAATATGATGTTGAATTACCCAAAATTCAGATTATTTCCATTCAATGGCTTATTCAGCTGTAGAAACTGCTACTGCTGGAATATTGGTTTAATTTATGGCAGTCAGGTTAATACATTTATATGACGCGAAGAAGAAGATGAAGACGATATAAGAATATGACCAAATTCTGATTCATATCCGAATTTTATTGTGCATCTAAACGCAATGAATGACTGTGGTTCAAAAATAAATAAAGATAGTAAAAATTAAGGAAATTAGTCAAAATAAAAAATAATGTATATAAAAAAATGAAAGTAGGCCTATCATTAAAGCAATACATCATGCATCATGAATGCAATGACAGTTCATAAATTATGGCTATAATTCGCGTGCTCGCTATCGACTTGACATAAAACTGTTGATGTAGGCTATCAGTTATATTTTGGTGTCAGAACATGTTGCAGATTCACCTGTTATCTAATCAAATCAAATCAAATCAAATCAAATCAAATCAAAAGCGATCCGTCAGGTGACCGCGCTGCATCGTTGGACATTGGCTTGGATATGAAACGCGTTGGGCTTTATTCCAACAGGCTATAAATCGCATTTACACGCGACACAGTTCAGTAGCACAACGAATATAAATAAGGCACAAACCTTTCGATTCGATGAGCTACGTTGTCTCAATGGGAAACCATCTGCGGAGTACTTTCAATAAACAGCAGTTGTTTGCTTAACCCTGTAGATATGACCGCTGACACTTCCAGAAATGCAGAGTAGGCTACTGACCGAAGTAGTAAATTCGCCCCTTTTTCAATGCAACGTCCACCCAAAAGACTCGGAAACTCCCTTTTCTTTATGTCACCTTTTTATGTTAAGTCTATATACACCCGCCTACAGCCTTCTCCACTCGAAGGTACCACGAGAATAACACGCTGAGGAAAGGACGACAGTCGATGAGACTGTTACTTTCACTTTTGGGTCTACATAAACTATTAACTCATCAGTGACTGGATTTGAATAAAGGTGCTGCGTTTTTGACCTAAAAAAGCGAAGAAACCTTTACTGCTGCCTTTGTATGGCCGCACAACCAATAGAGTCTGATCCCCCTAATGAAAGTTTGAAATGTTGGGGGTCTTAAAATAATTTTTACATATAAGTAAATACGTTTGAACAGTGTTTTCGAACGTTTCATAAACTCAAAAATGTACGAGTTAGTCTGAGACAGAGCGCGCTAAATTTGTAGCAAAAACTGCTCGATAGTCTGTAGCGGTTGGTACATTAAATGAAAAATACGTAGGCCTGCTGTCATTATCACATTATAGTACAATTACATGCAACAAAAATGAAATAAAAGTATCGAATTTTGTTTAAAAACTTTCATAAAGTTTATGTTAACTGGACAAGACAAACATCAGACATCAAACAGAAATTACAGACAAAAAAAAGACCCACCTGTAAGTCAATAAGACACATATACTGCGCAACATCTGCAGTTTTACAATATAAAGGAGTCAAAATTACCCATAAACTGACACTGAAATTGGTTCACCAAAACGAGTTATCGACTAACCGTCAATAACACCTTAAGTATGCCTACATTAGTCAAGAGGCAGCCAAGCATCAGTTCAAGCAGATGAGTAAACCTCATTCACCTACGCACATTACTAATTTATTCCCTACATTTACTGCGGTTCTGTGGTGACAGGCTTGGCACAGTTGTACACTTTTAGGAATTTCATGACAAATGTTTTTCAGACTTTGAAGCGCCTCATCTCGCAGCACAATGGACAGTGGGCATATGGATAACCAACACACGCTGGCCTTGGATTGCTTTGTTAATGGCCACAATGCCCCTCTTGTTTTGTAGTAACTTTAATATCTTTTTAGGGGCATAATCACTTGATGATAGTGCTATCTATGCTGTCCTAACAAAGGCCAGAGCCACTCAAGACCCAAGAAGACAAACGAGAGGGACATTCCAAGTCCCCCACCAAACCATTAAAAAAACTAGTCAAAACA